TACACACTACTTTGGCCATTATCTACTTATTTACAAATACATCTATTTTATTAATACCTTTTTTTTAAATTATGCATGCATTTAATTCTAATCTTCTCTTCTAATTCATTCTTCTGTTCCTGTAAAAGATCCTGAAACAAACTTAAATACATTAAACATAAAAACATTTTAAACATTCATCACAAACACAAAATCTCATATTCTCATATTCTCACATTCCTACTCTCAGAAGAAATTAAATATTTTGTTTATAAACCCTGTCTGTCGAAAACAACGTAAGAGATATTTTCAGTCACACAGTTTTTGACCAACGTCACAATTTTCAAGAATTTATGATACGAAAGAACCACATGTGGTCTGGGAAAATGCAAGTGAGGAGATACCAACGATGGCTAGTGATCGAAATCACGTAGCTATCATTATAAGGATTTGATTGTTGTTGAATGAGGAAATTTAGGAAATTAAGGCAAGTGATCACGTTGCCTTAAAGAAATGGAAATATTGTTTCCGGAAACTTTGAATCAGAGTAGGGAAGGCGAAGAAGCCTTTTAATAAGAAAAAGAACATTAAACACATCACTTATAAATTTTACCCATCAGAAAATTGAATATTTCTTTCTATCTAACATAAAAATTGGAAAATTTATCTTATATCGAAGAAAAAATATGAGATATTCCATATCGAAGAAAGCTGAAGAATTTCTGAAACAGAGAAAAGAACAGATTAATAAAATTCAATAAATTATAGCTCTTCTCTTCTATTTATTTTCTTCAAGTCGTACCTATAACAAACTCACAATTTTCAGAAAAATCAAATTGTCAAAATATGTAATTCATAATTTTAAATGAAAATTTTGTTCATTGATAAAAAAGAAGTATATTTTTTAACAGTATTTTTATTAACAAATGTTCTTAATAAAAGGGATGCTGAAAAGAAAAAAACGACGAGAAGGTAACCAGAAGGATTACCAAAAATAATATTTATCCACTCAATGTAAACTCGAGCAAACCGTGAGTGGACCATCTTTTCTATTTCGCAACACTAATATACTAGATTCTCCAAAAAAAACGCGAAGAGTGCTTTATTATATTTGCAATGCAATTCTTGGTTAATAACAAAAAAAAATAAATAAAAAATAAAAAAAAGGATAGAAAATTCGTGAAAATAAACACCCTTGGTAAAGTGTTCCAAACATATTTACGAAACTTTAATAAACTAATTTTTGCACTCATATCTTATTATACGCAACACTAACAGCGGAAAATTGCAGCCATATCAAAAGAGACTGCCGTTGTACAACCACTTTTGTGTGCAGCACTTGCGTGCACTTTTGATTGCAATGATCCAAGAGCAGGAACATTTCCACATTCCAAGTGGAAGGAAATGGGCAATTTGTAAAACGTAATATTACTACAAAAAACGCGATCATTCGTCAACGCAACACTAATTCTTAAAGTGAATTGAATACAAAATTTATTATTATTCTACAAATGAAAAACTATTTCAAATATGATATTAAATCGATGATATCAATTATTATAGAATAAATTCAATTTCTTTAATTTATTTAAAAAAAAAAAATTAAAAAATAGACTGATTCATAGTAAAAGTAATTAAAAACAAACGCGATATTTTTTATTAACGCAACACTAATTCAACCCGTTATTAATCAATCGCAACACTAATAAAAAAAACCGCGATGCCCATGATCTGATGACTGGATGATGGGCCAGCATGCAAATTGGCCAGACAAACACAACAACATTTACTACATATACTAAAACGAGCACAATGACAAAATAGTAACAATGACTTCCCATCCTTTGGACCCAAAACAGATCCAAAAGATGAGAAGCCATTCGTTGCAGCCCTCTTCGCGACAGTTTGTCGGGGCCTCTTCGGTCTTCCTCCTTCGGGCGCAATGCCCGCTGAAACTTAAATCTAGGCTCGAGACTCACTAATCGTATCACAGAAAAAAAAAGAAAAAAAAAAAAGGCTAAATCGCGGAAGCTAAGTGCACATAGACGACCAACTATCAATTACGATCGTCGATCGTACACGTGCAGAATCTCGAGCGCAACGTTCGTTTCGAATTTATCTCGCGATCGCGACCGCGGCAATTCGAAATATCGATGAATAAAGCCAAATACGAATGGCATGCTCCGTTCGCATATTCCAGCTTCATCCTCGATTTTTCAAATTATATTTCCTGAAACAAGTTGTCACGCGAAAACGCGCCTACCCGACCAGAGACTGTGACAACCTGCCCGGCCCTACCTACTTATAATTAACAGACACACCAGAAGTATACTACCTATCCTACCTATCCCTATATTTAAAAAATGGCAAAACAGGCATACCAACACATTTATTCTACGATTCTCACGCATAATACTCGGGCGCAAAAGCCTACACTAGGGAAAGCGTCCCGGGACACCTCCGACACCCGAGCTTGGCACACAACTCGCACACTCTAACTTGACGTACCATTTTCCTGAAATCGACTGACGATGGCTAATGACCATTGCGTGAAATGCGATAAAAAACATGTATATCTTAATTTTAATTATGAATATTTACTAATGAATGAATATGCCCTTTAAGGCAATTAAATTATTAAAATGGTATGAAAATTTGATATCATTGTTATAATTTGAAAATAAAAATTATAAATATTGTTGTGGAAAATTATAATGATATTAATAGTGAATATTTTAAATATCTCAGATTATATTGTGTTATAGAATGATAAATGAAACGACGCAATTCCACAGCCTAACCACACACACATAATGTGGAAAATACGTCGTGCACGATACACTAACGCATCGTCAGTCGCTAAAAAAATATTTATTAGCTTATGAACTAAAGTCATCATGCCCATCGCCTCTCTCTCACCCAAGTAGCACTTGGGCACGTGAGTGAGATCCTGGCAATAGACATGGAAGGGGTTAAATCTGAAAATCCTGAGCTAGAAAGATAGATTAATTAAATATTTGGTATCTAACGGATTAATAAACTTTGATTTTATATAATCTCATCATATTTCATCAAATATTAATGATTCTACTGTACTTTATCAATATAATAAATTGAAATTTTAAATGAAAACTCTAAAATTCTAAATGAAAACTATTAATTAAAAAGAAATGTATATATTTAAAAAATAAAACTATAATTTAATCATATAATTGACTCAACTTTAAACTTTATTATTATGAATGAAAATACCCTCAGGCGATTCTTTCATCAAAGCATTTTTTAAAAATAAATATTCAATAAACTTAATAGCTTTGATTTCAAAATCTACCTGTCGCGAAATGTCTTCTTGCACATAATATTTCATATATTTTCAAACGAGAATAAAATAAAATATAAATAAAATTATCATCTTTATTCTTGAAGATCAAATAATTATTTAAAAAATTAAATGAAAAAAAAATATGAAATTAAAAATGATTATCATATCATGCATTACATTTATATGTGCAAATATTCATATATTTAGATATTTAATTGATTTGCAAATATCTATATTAAATAAATATTATAGTTGATTTAAATTTATATAATTAATTTGGAAGATTGTTAATATTTAAAAACGCGATGTACAAGAAGACCTAGCCTAAACTAATAAATAAAACAATGGAAAAAAGAAATGTTACTATTCACGGGTATAATAAATATCCGCGGTCATTGTGCTCGTGAAAAAATCTACATATACAACCAATCACTCGTGTCGATTTGGATCTTTCATCCTACGACATGATTAAGTGATCAGAGGAACCAAAAAGCATGCGACTCACCATTGATGCGAAGAATCTGCATTGCCATTGTTGATGGAAGTCGAAGAAGTGAAAGCTGTAACAAAAAATGGAACATTATAATTCAGAAATATGATATATAATAAAAATTGAAATTAAAATTAGATATAATAATAATAAATGAAAGTTATGAAAGTAAAATTGAACAAAAATTTGAAATTTAAAAATTGGAATTCTCTAATAGTTTACTATTCATTAGAAAAATTTAAATAGGAATAAAGATAATTACCTCTTCGTGTGGTGGATGATCGCCTTATTTTCTTGAGATAAACACTGATTCTACCCTGTGTCGAAAACGAATATTTATAAAAAAAAATAAAAATAAATTATTAACGCGTCCGTTTATATTGTATAATCGGCGAACAAACACTGATTCTAATTTCACGTATGATTATTATAATTAAATTTATTTAGAATTAGTGTTCTAAAAAATAAAATATTCTAAAAAACTGTTACGAAGCAAACACTGATTCTACCGACCACATTGCGCGTGATCATAAATACTATTAAAATATGTCAGCAACTGTAAACAAAATGTAAAATATTACATTTATTAATTTTTGTTTAAATACAATAAAATAAAATCTAAAAAATAAGAATTTAATAATTTTTCTTACCTCTTCGCGTGATGAACGATTGTCTTAGTCTCTTGAGAAAAGCACTGATTCTACTCTGTATCGAAAACGAAAATTTAAAATAAAAAAATAAAAATAAAAAACTATTAACGCGTCCGTTATTTATACTGTTCAATCGGCGAACAAGCACTGACTTTAATTTCACGTATGATTATTGTAATTAAATTTACTTAGAGCTATTGTGCTCTAAAAAAATAAAAAAATACTGTTACGAATCAAACACTGACTCTATCAACCGCATTGCACGCGGTTATAATAGTCTGGAAATGAAATTGTGGGAAGAAGGGAGTTTAGAAAAGAAAATAAAATACATATGTATATATTTTCTTTCTTTTTCTTATTAAACATTTGTTAAAAAAAATAAAACTGTTATTTTTAAAAGAATATCGTTAATTATTAATATTAATATTTAAATTATTAATATTAATATTTATATTTAATATTATATTATATTAATATATATTTTTCACTATTATTCAATAATTCAATAATCAATAGTAACTATGAATTACATAAAAATAGTATAAAAAATTGTATACATATTATGGAATTAATAATTTAATAAAAAAAATATAAAAGTACTTACATATATCTTCCAAAATTTAAATTTTACCTCTTCTTTCTTTATATAAAATATAAATTGTCATCATGGCGTCCATATTGAAAATCCTTCTTCCCGCCTAAAGTAATTTCAGCAATCAGCTATTTATCTGAACAAAAAAATCAAATCTTTAAAATAAATGTATAAAATGTATAAGAACTTAAACTTATATCAAAATAAAATAGAAAATTAACAGTTCAAATTCTATTTTAGAAGCTAATAATATAAGTTAATGTTAATTTTAATGGTAAAATAGAAAAAGGAATAGATTATTTCTCAAATAACTATCATTAATATATTATCATTAATAAATAATTAAAGAAACGCATATTAGTGAAATTATAATAGTATAAAAAGTAAAAAAAATAATTGTTAAATAAATATTACAAAATAAATAGATCACGTACCTAAAACGAAGCGTCTAATTGTCACGAGTTTCGAGAACAAAATGACACCCCGCGCAGCGAGTTCGATATGTCGAATTAGGAAGGAAAGGAGAAAGAGGTGGGGGGAACGCTCGACAAGTCGAAACATGTCGAGCGTGGTACGAACGCAAGAACGCAAAAACGCAAAATCGCAATTTCTTAGAAAGGCTGTTATAAGAAATGTTTTTAACCTCGAGATTTTGAGCATAAATAATCAAAAAAAGTATAGAATAACAACACACGAGTTGAATGTACAAATGACGTATTTAAGAAAGAAAAAAACATGAGAAGTATATGAAATATTTACGAATAAATTGATATAATAATCTAGCTATTCCCATTTCATAAAAAGACAAAATAAATTTATAATAACTATCTTTATTAAATTAAATAAAATCTTACCATATTTGTATGAAAGTCGTCCAATTATTTCTTTAACATGTTTGTGTGTGTAAAAACTTTTATACTTTCGAAGCCATTCCATCTTCGAACTTTAAACATACGATAATTTATCACAACGATATTTAATTCTGTAATAATAGTAATTAAACAAACATATATTAATTAAACAAGTTTTTATAATCTGTAATTAAGCTTAATATAATATTCTATCGATAAAAATTACACGTAATTATACACTTCTGCCGGCGAAACACGTCCTGTCACCACAATTTTCAACTGTAGACTAATACCATGCGCACTGTGATGCGCACAAACTCACCTCGCCGTAGCGCGCCGTTAGATCTTAGCAGCTTTCTGATTGGTTGGAATAAAATACTTCTTTATTCAGTCGCGCGAAAATTAAAGTATAATATATTATATTTTAATTGTAGATTTCTATACATCGAAATTTTACAAAGATATTTCAATTAAAAATATAATAATATATAAAATAAATAATAGATTATCATAATTAATTTAATATTATTTAAAAATTATTCAAACTAGAAAAACTAAAATATAAAATTAAATATTTAAAATTAACCAAATCTTACAGAAATATAATGTCTGTAAAAATAAAAATTTGTTTATATACTTAGAATGCAATAACATAAAAAAATTAAATTACTGTAATAATTAATTGTTTTATAATCATTTTATAAGTATATTGTATAAGTACAAATGTAAATGTATTTCTGGATAATTTGCTTCTTAAATTGTTTTGATCTATTATGTCTTATTTTTAATAATAAAATCAGATTTTAATTCCAGTCTATTAACATTATAATCCTTTTCTATATCAATAATATCTTATATAATACAAAAATAATAAGAAAATGACTAAGATTAAATTCTATTATCTTTTTTATTCTTTAACTAAAAATTTAAATAGAGTCTATCAATTTAATCTTTTGTTGTTTGTATAAAAATATTTATAATTCTATATTAACAATACATAATACAAATAAATTTATTTAGCTTTTATAACATTATAATATATTTTAAATCCATTTATAAAAATCCATTATAAAAATCTCACAAATTAATATTGTTTTCATTATGTTATAATAAAAAATACATGCATACTTTATATATTTAATTTATATATTATATAATTATATATTATACATTATATATTATAATTTATATATTAACAAAATACAATGTATATTATTATAATGTAATATAAAATAATCTTTATAATTGAATATAAAGATTACCTACACTGATCAGTTTATCATAGAAGGCATATCAACAGCTCTGATTCTTTTTTTTTCGGTATTTCAGAGCAAAGTTTTATTAAATGCTAGTATTTTATACTTCATCTATGGTGAAACTCAATTTTATCTGAAAAATAAATAAAAATTTAATCATCATCTAAATAAATCTAAATCTAATATTTTATAATTTAATATTAAAATTAATTTATCAATATTTTAAAATTATAATTGTTTGTTTTATAAAAAATCATTTCAAATGTGCATAGATCATAGCAATAATTCTCAAGTTAATTACATTATATGCACACTTATGCTACCTAAGATATTGTTGTAAACACTGTTATTGTTATTTTGAATTTCTTTGATATATTTTTATTGATATAGTATTAAAATTTGTAGATTTTAATTGATGATATGAATTTATGAAAAGTTATCAACAATTATTCATAGTAATTGGATCACTATATATATATATATATATATATGAAAAGATACAATAATCTGTCAACAGATACTTAAATATTTTATACACATTTTTAAAGAGTCTTCAGATATCTATTTGTATACAAGATTTGTGAATTGATAGAAATAATATGTACAATGAAATCATAAAATACTTATTTCCTAATTATTATTATTATTGTAATTAATTATTATTAATTTAATTTATATATTACTGTTTTATTACTATTTATTATTATAAATAGATGTATTATTTTGATACATAAATGTAATGACAAGATAATTAATTAATTTTATAAAGTAATTTCTTTCTTGGAAATAAAAAAATATATTTAAATACACATAAATATAAATAAATTGATGAAAGTCTATATTATGAAACCAATGATTAATCACTTAATGATTAATGAGGACATAGTAATTGTGAAAATGCATGTATAATTCATATATATATATATATATAAAAGAAAAAAAATCTAATTGTAAATTAACATATACAGTTTTAAAACTTTTTATTTTTATTTGATATATTGTTCCAAATAATTGTTTCAGTTCCTCAAATATATAAACTTGAATGTTTTATCGATTTCATAACATTATAATACCGTTTCTACCAACTGTAGACATTTTTCAATAGTCTGGACAGTCTTTGTCTTTCGTTAAAGAATAAAACAAAAGACAGTGTCTGCAGACAATATTTACATTATAATTGTATGATCAACATGTCGAATAAAAAAGTTTATATATATAATATAAAAATATATGTATTTTGTTTTTTTTTGTTTTTTAGAATTAGAAATGCTTAATAAAGAATACAAAACTGAAAAAATATCTTAAAAATATTTTATTCTTGTATTCTTTATTTCACAATATCAATAATAATTTTATCATCTGATTAATTTAAGAGGAAAAATTTATGTTTTATTTAAAAATAATATTTTTAACACATTTAGAGATTATGTGTATAACCGACACTTGATTAAACGTGTTTCACATAATTAATTAATAAAAAAAATATTAATGTTTTATGGAAAAACATACGAATATTCTTGTATCACTTGAATAAATGCATAGTAAATGAAACATAACAAATAATATTTCTAATAAATATATTTAAATTATTTTTATCATTTTTAACTTGAAAAATACAATTTGTTATCATATGCTAAAAATATTATTTATTTATTGATATATATTTAAATAAAATTGTGATATTTTTTCCCACTCGATTATAGCATTTATAAGATTTTCCTGGTGAAAAAATTGATGATTATTTATGTAAATTTGTCTCGATAGATATCTCTAAACATATTCAACGATGTTCATATCCGGTAATTATGTGAGATATATAATTTATTTTCTGTTATCAGTCTTCAATTAATTTGGCTATATATATGATCATATTATCATATTGAAATATTCTAATTACTATATTTCATTATGTTAAAAATATTATTTTTGCTATGATATTTCAAAATATTATTTCATATCTTGCATCTATATATTCTAGGAGACAAAATTTTTTCCACCAGGAAAAAAACGAATAGCCATCATCTAAATTAAATTTCTTTTCGCCATTAAAATAGGCATTAAAATACTCAATTTATATAATTTCTTGCAAATCCAAGCTTTTTCTTATAGCCTTCTTTCAAGTAGAGTTTCTCTTCAACGTTTTTATAGTTTGTATAATAAACTATATAATAAACTTTTTTTTTTCGTTATATAATTAGAAACATTGAGTTAAAACATCTCCAGCAATTTATTTAAAATTATCAGAAAACAAACTTTTTATCTCTGAGCGATAAAGCTTTAATTGTACGTTTATCATAATTTTCTTTTAAATAAACAATAAATGACAAACTCACCTTTTTTTTTTTTTTTGGACTTTTTATTTGAATATCTCTCTTATTTTAGTATTTATCAAACAGGATTGCTTCATTTTTTTCTTTATATCTAAACAAAATAAATATATTATAAAATATAAGTTTAAAAAAAAAAAAAAGAAAAGATTTATTGTTTTTTATTATTTTCTGAAGCTTCTGAAATATATATCACAAAAAAGATTCCGAAATTCTATATCTTTAACAAAATTCTTAAGTTCATAATGGAAAAATATTCAGAATAAGTTTCAGACTTGGAAAACTGCATAAAAATTTATTATTGCATGATTCTGATAAAAATATAATAATCACTTATCGATTACGATTATCTTATAATCTCAAGCTATCTAGTAATATTTTATCACAGACAAAAGTTTTTCTTTACTTGATATAATATCATTAATATTTAGTTAAATATATTTAATTAATTTAATATTATATTATATAATATATCATACATTTTAGATTTCTCGAAAGCATGATTAATTAAATACATATGTGTATATTTAATTAAAAAATTTTTATGTAAAATCAACGAAGTCACAATATCAAGTCAATTCACTTCAAAAAAATTTAAAATAGTTGAAAATCTAGAATTTCAAAGGAACTTAATATACTTAGAATTTATATTTCACAATTTAATGAATTCAATTGTTAAAGTAAATATAACAATTTTTACATCACAAAAAATGAATCCCAAAGCGAGAAAGAATTGTAATGCTCTTTTCTCAACATGATAAGAAAACAATAAGGCGAATTCAGTCTTACCACGTATTAAATAAGGAATTTTGCAATTTTGTTAAATTTATGATTCACTTTCATATATCATGTTGACACAATTATGTAACTAACTACCCTATTGTACTCGATAGAAAATTTCAATAAAGTCGACGTTTTCACATCTCGCAAGAATAGAAAAATTTATATGATTCCATTGATAAATACTCTTATTGTTTTATTAAAATGAAATCATATTATATACGATTTTTCTTTCGCACGGTAAATTTATTTCTTCTATTATCATTATAATCTTTTTTCCAATCATCGTCATGAAGATTTAATTTCGATTGGTTACAAAAAACATTATAAAGAACAAGAATATACTAACTTCAGTCATCCAACTTTATTCTCTTTTTAAATAATACTATTTTTCAACAAAAATTCTTTAATTTTGATTGCATCAAAATTATCTCACATTTCAATCTCACATTTTAGATTATACATTCATGAATAATTCCTAGCAGATTTATAAAATTCTATTTTTTTTTTTAAAGATAATTTAAGAAAAGAGGAAAAAAAATAACAATATATATGTGCATATCTAAGAAATTAAACTGAAAAATGTTGCTAAAGAGATAATGGCATAGACTAATTGTAAGATAAAATTTATGCATAAATATCTACTATGTTTCGAACGTAGCGTGCCAGTTAATACGTTATACGTGCTAAAGTGAATTGTGATATTACTACGAATTTGAATCACAATTGATTCTTACCGTTTGTATCATTATATTATTTTAATTATTATTTTAATTATTGTTCATTTATTAATATTAATATTAATTTATGATATTTTGTGTCCATTAACATGATGAAATAATCTTTTTTGATATTATATGTTTGATATTAAGAGTTATTAACATTATGTTATTTGAAAAACATAAATTTATTCATGATAATTTTTCTTGATAAATTTTTAGACAAGAAATAAATGAATATTAACAATTAACACACGATAGCATATCTTAAATTTTAAACATATTTGAAAGGGGAACATCACAGCACATAATAGATCAGAAATTTATTAATTGTTTGATTAATCGTTTAAGCTCAAATATTAACAAACTATAAGTTTATGAAACAATAATGAAATCTATTTAGATTTATGTAGTTTAAGGAATATTAAAAAAGAAGCATCGAATAGTAGACACAGATAACAACAATTCAAACATTCATTTATGGTTGTGCAATGCTAATAACTCTGAAATAAATGAATTTAAAAAGAACAATTTTACAATTGAAATATTTAAATCAGCAAATCAGTCTACATACAAGACATATCATGTAAAATATACAAGTTAATACTTTCACATATACCAAGATAGTATTATATCTATTTGTATAATTTTAAATTTTTAAAAAGGAATGAACGAAAGCAATATCAAAAAATATTGCTATATAACTACATGAATATTTCTCGAGTTTCGATTCAAGTTTCTGGAATAAACTAAAACTCTTTCAAATTAAACAGAATGTTAGATGTTAAGATTCATGTGTTTCATACAAATCATAATCAAATCTAACAAACTCGTAAGAATAACCGGAAGGAATCGCGAGGCATGCAATCCTCTCCAAAGTTAAGCATTGGAATAGAACGTGGTTTGATGATAAAAATCCTCATAAACCAAGAACTTTTGACAGCGTGGGGTACTTGTCGATCCACGATCGTACTCCTTGTACTTTCTCCCACCATTTATAAAGTTCGACTCGTATCTCGCACCCGTTCAGTCGTTCTGCCAATACGTGTTTGGTATACCAGAGATCGTGTATGAAGTGAAGTTTCGTTTACTCTTTTTCAAATAGGTTTTGTGCGCCGACCCAAGTTATCGAGGAGTCAACAATTTTCGGTGGGTTTCATTCTATGCAAATTAGGTTGAACGAATAGATTTTATATTGAATTGCAACAATCAACGAATCAAAACTGTTTTTCTGCTTTTGATATATCAACTGCTCTTTTTTTTTTTTTTTTTTTTT